CATCGTGACTCTCACTTCTTCCAGTTAATCGAGCCTCGTGCTTGTCAAAGAGTATTATAATATATAATATATAATATAACCTGAGACGGTGTGTGTAAAAAAAATTAGAGCAGCAGGTGAGCATAAAGACACAACAATAAATACAATACAACTTTATTTTGTTAAAATTCCAGTTAAATGTGATTTAAGAACAAAAACAAATACTATTAATAAAAATATCACATATATTAATATATATATTTATATGTAGTATACTGGAGGCAACATTCATCACTACAGCAACCAAACTTGTGGAGGTTGTATCATAGTTGCTACAGTTACTAATAACTTCCATCGTAGGAAAAAGTAAGTTATGCAACAAATTGTGTTCGCGACAAAAGGTGGGCTCATATGTACATACAGCACAGCGTACAGAGACCTATACAGAACAACATAAGATATACAATTAAAACACTGCATTATCCACAGCACAACTACCTTTGATTCCTACATTTCTGCACAACATAAGATGCTATTTTTCTACAGAATCTTCATTAAAAAGCAACAGAACAGCAAACATCATCAGTGATAAAGTCCTATAATCAACAAGGCATTGCATTAAGGAATTCAGAGCTACGTAAATATATATAAAGTCCTCAGAAGGTGGGGTTTTGCTCCCGCCTATGTACACAGTGATGCGTTTCTGAACTCATACAAAAAGAAGATAATCTTTGTTCTACTGCGCGTTATACCTCAGCTTACACAAGATAAACATGTTGTCTTTGACTTCTCGTTATACAGGTTGGATTCAGTGCCTGCCGTTTGCTTATCAATACGTACGATGCTGCTTCCAGAATGAAAGAGTTTAATTTAGTACTTCAAAGGTTCCTTCAGGAGTCATTGTTCCATAAATAAGACTTTTGGTTTTCATTTCGTGCAACGTCACTGTAACATTAACTTATCCTATTTAATTACTTCATGTCAAACATGTGTATCAGGTGTAAATGGCAGAAAATCCTTAATAAATTACTGCATCAAGCTCAAAATCAAAATCGGAGAGGTCTGGTTTCCCTCTTTAACTCTGCTCCACAGAGAAGTTTGACTCAGATCTGTTAAATAAAAAAAAAAGAAAAAAGAAAAGTCACAGTTAATGAGAAATACATGCAAAGGAGGAATCAGTGAGGATATCTGAGTGTGAATGTGCTTACATGTCTTGGTGCTTGTGGATCATGTGGTTGTTGTACTCCAGAACAGGAGGGAGGGTCTCCTCATCCTCTGGAACCTGAAAGCGACAGAAACTCATTAATATCTGATATCTGAAAAGTCAGACGGCAGTGGTAGAAATGCTTCTTTTGTTTTTCATTTACCTCCCAGTAAACTTCATCATCATAGCAGTTGTCATCAGCAGGATCGCCCCAGATGGGGAACCTCAGGATGAAACCTTTAACGAGAGAACAAACAGGCTTAAGTAAGGCTTCGTCAGGTATCCAGGATGCAAGAGTTCCTGTTAAACCTGTTTTACAGTAAAAAAAAAAAAAAAGACTCATAACTGCAGCCTCAATGTCAAAATCTCTGAACCAGATGTTTTTTGTTCTTTAATATTCTGTCAGGATGTGTTTCCTTTTAAATACTGCAGTTCTTTAAAACCACATTTTATTTCAAAGGGCTTTAGAAATAAAAATCATCACCACAGTAACGCATGAAGCTGACTGATTGCAGTTCTCCTGAATCTCTTAGTGTTACATAAGACGTTGTTCAAACTCACCGACGATAACTCCTCCGACGAGTCCAAAAGCGATGGACACACATGTGCCGGCTGCCTGGAAGCCTCCCTGTGTTCCTACTGATCTGTTTGCGAAGCTGCCCGTGAAGTCGAACACTCTTATCAGCCTGGGAGGGGAAAAAAATAACAACAATTTATAAGACGAGTGCACACATGGCTGATCTGAATCCCTTCATGATGGCTGACAACTGGGTCAGTGCTTTGGTGCCACTGAGGGTTTTCACTGAGTGAGAAGTTGCAGAATCTATACTTCAAACATGTCAGTCACTCACCCCTCCCTGCCGTAGACCTCCTCAGTGGCTGCTGCAGCGACGATGGCACCGATGAAGCCGCCGAGCATCCCCGGGACTGCGTGCAGGTTGTGGACTCCACATGTGTCCTGGAGCTTGAGAGCCCTCTCCAAAAAGGGCTGAGAGGAATAAAGAGTTGCGTATTAATTAGTGATCTCCAATCAGGGCCATAGCTATTATTTTATCGACACTTGCTGACCTTTTATTGTCTATTCATTTTGCCCTTTTCAGGTTTAGTTTCTGTAATTAGTTTAAACCTAATGTGAAGTATTTCATTGTAAGATCCTTTTTTTTTACTCTTCCCATTTCCACATTCTCAGGTGTGTCGAAACTCCTGGCTTCAGTTTTCACGTGGCTGTTTTTACTGAAAGTATTCGATGAATGCTCATAAAATGAGTCACCATAGCTCCTGTAATACAACATAAGGCTACGTTTTTTTTTTTGTACTACTTCCCATAAAAGCGGCACAGCGTTGAATTCTCTCCGACCAGAAAGCAAGGAAGTAAAACAAAAAACTGCAGGCTCACCGTGACAAACAGGTAGCCAAAGGTGGAGATGATGCCGCAGCAGAAACCCACGATGAGGGAACCGTAAGGAGTGATCATGAACTCTGCTGCTGTTCCCATGGCAACGCCACCTGCCAGCGTGGCGTTCTGGATGTGCACCTGTTGGGTTTAAACAGCAAGTCAGCCTTGAGTAACACGGGGATGTGACTGGTTGTAGAGGTATTAAAGCTTGTGTGATTTTTGTTTTTGAGCGGTTACCATGTCCAGCTTTCCTTTCTTCTGAGACATGCTGGAGATGGCCACGGTGGTGAGGACGCAGGAGGCGAGGGCGATGTAAGTGTTGATGGCCGCTCTGTGCTGTCCGTCGCCGTGGTCCGTGATGGCCGAGTTGAAACTGGGCCAGAACATCCACAGGAACAGTGTGCCTGTGCGAGGAGAGAGTCAAGTCTGTGATGAATCTGGATAAAACCGCAGATTTGCACAACTGAAAAAGTATAAAATAGAAACGTCAGGTCACTCACCAATCATGGCAAACACATCAGAGTGGTAGACGGACCCGTTGAGCCGTTTGCTGAGGTGTAGGTTTGGTCGGTAGAGCACCCAGGAGATGGCCAAACCGTAGTACCCTCCGAATGCATGAATGACCATGGAGCCGCCGGCGTCTCGGCACTGTGGGAGCAGCAACATGTCACCGGTGTTAACAGCAGCAGCAGCACAAAAAACAAACGCTGCAATGTTTGAAGGCAAACTCTCAGTGTTTAGACAGTAATTGATGTCCCTGAGGGCTGACAGTGACCAGTGAGACTCACATGAAGCAGGCTGAGGATGATGAACTCCTCCACGGCGAACAGCGTGATGCCGAACAAGGTGACAACCATGAGCTGGACGGGGCTGACTTTTCCCAGGAGGGCACCGAAGGCGATGAGGGAGCCGGCGCAGCAGAAGTCTGCATTGATCAGACTGCAGGGAACAAAGAAAGCGACAAAACATGTCAGTCAAACGTCTCAGTCCGCCTTCAGAGATCCTCGATAGGGACGACAGGTGTGGTTTCATGTTTGACTTGCACGCCACACCTACGGCAGCGGGGAGGACAGCTCACCTCTCGACTCCGATGCTGATTTTTCCTGTTTCCAAGTCGAGGGAGTGGAACCAGCCCTGCATGAGGAGAGCCCACTGCAGACCGAAGGAGGCTATCAGGAAGTTGAAGCCCACGCCGCCGAAGCTGTAGCGTTTCAGGAAGGTCATGAGGAAGCCGAACCCAACGAAGATCATGACGTGGACGTCCTGGAAGCCTGTGGAGGTGGGAGTGACATCGCTGTGTTGGTAATGTCCAAGAGTAACGGCATGCAGTGAGGAAAACTGGTAAAATAACTGAGTACAATAACTCTACACACACACACACACACAAAATAAATAAATCAATCAGCTGCATTTTCATTTTTTGTTTCACATTCACTTGCTTCACTTTCTTATTCATTACAGATTTGTGCTTTCATCCAGATTGTTAGATGAAAACGTTGAGCTTCTTAAACTAATTTTCCTAAATCTTCCTTTGCACTGCTGCAGTCTAGACAGAAATTGGGGGTAAAAAAGCCTCCTTACATCATAACTCATGTTGTTTTCATGACCCCTGATGTTTTGTTTTTTTTAACCAAATGTAATTCTGAAACATGACAATTTTCCAGGACAGAAGCCAAAGACACAAACGAGGTTCTAACAAGCTGCAAAAGTCAGAATCACCCTTTTGCCATTAGTGGAAAAACACCAGTCTCACTGACAAAGTACAAAAGTGTTAGTTAACATTGATCTGTGATTCCTGAAACACTCAGGAAAAATAACCCCAGAACTGAACTGTGCAGCCTTTACAAGATGACTGTTGTTATACTTACTGGGGTATCTGAAGTAGAAGTCATTGTCGATGTCGCTGGTGATGTTGTGCTCCTGTTTAAACCTTAACCAGAGCTTGACGTCCGACTCCTCGTCATACCGGATGAAAACTCCAAACAGAATGACCATGGCGATCTGCCAGACGAAGCAGACGGCCGGCAGACTGATTCGCACATTGGTGTTCTTCTGCGGTCCAAAGAACTGGGCCGCCCTCTCGCAACAGCTCCCCATGTCGATGCCTCTCTGCTGGTGATGCTCCTACTTGCTCCTCGGCCAAGACCAAGACTGCTGTGACTTCCAGCGCTGTGTCTCCATCTATATATACATATGCACGGCTCTGGGGTGTGACTTCCTCCACCACTCACAGGCAAGGCGTAGACTCATCCTACCTGTTAGGGGGTAAACTCCTCCTCGGCTGCTGCTGCTCCTGCTGCTGGAGCAGGTGACACAGCTCCTAGAACAGGCAGCAGGAAATAAAGTAATCTCTGCATAGACTGTATGCGTGACTGAAAAGATGCAGGGCAGTTATTTGATGAGGAATCACTTGATATGTTCTGCGACGTCACAACCCGGAGCCATTGTCAGAAAATGCTTGCATTTCCCAGGGGGGTCACGAACACAGCAAACACGAGGCCGCTGTGTAACGGTAAAGACCTACATACAGCACCCGTTACTGCTGATGACTTGCTGCTGGTGTTCACTTGGCCCTGAATTAGAAGTGATTTTGTGAGTGGCAGTTATGTGCTCCGAGGAAGCATTGAACTGGCGTTAGGTGAACACACCTGTCAGTCAAGCTTACACTACGTATCACGAGACTGGCATCCTGAAATTAGGCGTGTAGGACTTTGATGAGAAGCCGCAACAGAACCTTTTTTGTGAATCAGACAGCTGCTACTAGAGTCCTTCTCTGATGTAGCAGCAGCTTGCATACAACAGGTGAAGATATTAACCAACACGAGGGGTCTTAGTAAAGTGTCAGGCCGCTTCGGTGCTGCTTGAAATCGATTCTAAAAATGTCTACTGGAGGGAAGAGCAGTTTTCTACCAAGAGATATTCCTACATATTGATGATGGTGGTGGAGATGTGTGTTGAACACGTCGATCCAAAATCATCATCCTGGAAGACACCGCTCCCATCAGGATAGAAATGATAAAGGTGATCACTCAGAACAGCTTTGTATTGATTTGCCGCCAAACCATCCATCCATCCATCATCTATACACCACTTAATCCTCACTAGGGTCATGGGGGGCTGGAGTCTATCCCAGCTGACTCAGGGTGAAGGCAGGTTCACCTGGACAGGTAACCAGTCTATCACAGGGCTACACTTAGAGACAGACAAGCACATTCACACCTACAGACAATTCAGAATCACCAATTAACCTCAACATGTTTTTGGACTGTGTGAGGAAGCCGGAGAACCTGGAGACTCCACACAGGTGTCGTCGCCCACAAATATTTTGCACATATTCTTTCTGGGGTCCAGTGAACCCTGAAAGGCCTTCTACGTATGGCAACATGAACGTCCTGAACAGGGTCAAGATACAACAATCTAGTGCTCAACAAGGTGTAATAATTTAGCATAATAAATGAAAGATAAGCAGATTGTTTGCTTTTATAAATATCACTTAAACCTAATGAGACACTGTTTGTTTACTGAATAGGACAACCAAGCACACTCACATTCACACCTACGGACAATTTAGAATCACCAATAAACCTCAACATGTTTTTGGACTGTAGGAGGAAGCTGGAGAACCCGGAGAGAACCCACGTTGCACGGGGAGAACATGCAAACTCCATGCAGAAAGATTTCAGGCGTCCTAACCGGGACCCGAACCGTCAGCGGTGCTAACCAACGAGCCAGCATGCAGTCAGATGCTCCCCGTAGTACAATAGAGCCACTGGATCCTCTCAGTGTTGGAGGGAAGCATTCAGACTCGTGCTGTTGCTGAAGAATGACTAATCCGATCATATCGCTTGTTTCTACATCTGTTCTGAGTAGCGCCTCTGGGCAGCAATGAACTCACAATTACACTTGTGCATTCATGGTTGCAATTAAAACATCTCTCTTTCTGACATTGTCAACCGACTGTTGACTGCGATCACGCCCTGCGCTGACATTTACAGTCACCTGAGGAAGAGCTGCTCTTCCAATTTTTCTTACATATCACGCTAATGTACGACCATCGCCATCGCCAAATGCGTCGGCCGCAATTTCACATGCTTTTTACTGACGACCTTCCCACAAATCCGAATGCAGATTCAGTCCCAAACATTTAAACATTAACCAGTTAAGCAGTCTTTTGTTTTTCCATCTTGACACTGTGGTTGCTCTGCATTGTTCTGCTCGCCTCGGAGCACGAGTGGATGTTAATTGCTTAATTGCACCGTGCGGTGCACCTGTGTGGAAGCGTCTGGATTTGTTGTTTTTCTCCGCTCGTTTAATCTTTTAATTTGAACAAATAAAGTAATTTGTTTGCTGAAGCTGCTGAGCACGAAGCCAGTGAGCACGAGCACAGTTTTAGACTGAAACCATTGTTACTCTGCTGCTAAATACTGGAGCAGATGAGTGTGGAAGGGTCTTGCTTTAGCATCTTTAACAGTTCAGGGGTGCAAAGCAGACAGGAAGTTCACCACAGTTACACCTTAAACTCTCCAATCCTCAGTCACGTTTAATGCACGGCTCCGTCATGTATGAATGTTTTGAACCTCATCTTACTACAACATAGTGAAAGAACACACGGCTACCCTCCCAGTTCCTCACATGGCAGATGCTTATTTGTGTACTGTTCCGTCTGATTATCTACGATAATCTCTCAGAAGAGATTCCAGCTGGAGGATTCATCATTATGTCAGCTGGAGGTTGTGTCGCATTTGAGTGACACGCAGAACATTCTCGATGATATCAGGTTTTTTGTCTTCGGCGTGTTATGTAACACGGCGTGAATTGAGATTTCCTTCTTTGATAATTTCAGAGGGTGTGATCAAGAGTTGCCACAGAAACTTTATTAATATATCAGACCTTATTAATGCGGATGAAGCATCTCTAATTAACAGGTTAACAGATATTTGTGGGAAATCTTTTGCTTGCATGTCAGGACGGAGTTACGTTTTTGTGGTTTTCAGGATGTGGTTTTATGTTGCATCACGCTGTCTGGTGTGTTTTAGTTGCACGCCGGTGACTTTTAAACAGTAAAATCTTAAATCTAAGCACTCTTGTGTTGTACGAATACAGAAATGGTGGCAATGAAAACCTGAGAGTGAAAAGTAGACATTCATGATGCGGATTAAATTAAATATAAAGCAAGACAACAGCTTTTTTGTCTTTTATTTGAGTAACATGAAGAACATTTGAGGAGCTCCTAGCAGTGAATTTACCAGCTACCAAGAATACGTAAAACAGAAATTCATCTGAACCTCATAAGTCACGTCAGTCAGATAACATCTTGTTGTTTCAGGCCCTAAACTTGCATAACGTGAGGCAGGAAGTTTTAGTGTTCCGGCTGATTGATGTACACAATTTGCCTAAAGAAACAGTTAAGAAATAAAGTAGTTTTTTGTTTTTTGCTGTTTTTCTCCATTTTCCAGAGTCAGAAACTAACAAATGCCCCCAGAACAGACCTTTTGTTTCTGTGTTTTGTGTCGTCTGAAGCTATATGAAACAGTGATATTAGGATATCAGGTGTTGGTTGTCTGGGGGATCGAATAACATCACAGAGGCTTCCAGGAAATGAGCAAAACCAAGCAAGTGAACTGAAAGAAGGTGAAGGGGGAGCTTTGTCAGAGAGGACGCCCGCAGCCTCAGAGTTTAAAAACTCTGCGTAAAAATTTCATTTTCTGTTAGTTGCAAAAATCCTCTTTAAATCGTATTTCATGCACCTTTTTGTGAGCCACGATCAACAGCGTGCAAAGTACGCCTAGTGAAGTTTATTTTTTATGTAATTATGTGTTTTTGTTTTTTTTTAAGATTATTTTTTTCTGCCGTTTTTGCCTTTATTAGTTCGGAGAGTGAGACAGGAAAGGGGGGGAAGAATGGGGAGAGACCTGCAGCAAACTGTCGTGAGCGGGAGTCGAACCCACGACTGCTACGTCAGGAAACTACAGCCCCTATTCATGGGTCGCCCGCTCAAGCAGGTGAGCTATAGGGGCACCCGTTTACGTGGTTAATTTTAATAAAAAATACTGTTCAGTTTGTCTTTGTATGCTCAGGTACTTATGGCATATAACAGTCCTGTGTAGCGTAGTGTAGATGCTGCTGCTAGATCTGATTGTTTTCTGCCTGATGTTGTTCTTAATACATCATAAAGCAGTCGGCAGCAAATCACCCTTGACAAGCAGCTGAAAGACGATGTTTGGGGTCGTTTCATCCTCATCAGATGATGGAAATCCTGCTGCAGCTTCTGATACACAGAGTTCTTCATCAGGCAGCAGGTTGGCACGAAAGAAGAATGCGGCTCAGTCACAAGGTCATATTTAAAGGCCTGTGAAACACCCCAAGGCGAGCAAGAAGTGCTGGCGATGAAAATGAGTGCAGCAGGTAAAGATCGCCCCGTCTGCAACGTATGCAGAATAAAAGATGCATGAAACGAATTGCACAACAGAACGTCTGTCAGTAAAATGTTTATCATTTCGACTCAGTCGATGCAGAAACGATACAGCGTCTTAAATATTTCAGCCCTTGAGTGGCTGAACATGTGACAGTGGAGCAGTATGGAGGCTTCAGATCTTATCTGCTCCAAGCATCCGAGCAATGCCCCTGTCACATGGTGCGGTATGCTCTGCCAGAGCTCTGGAATGATCCCGCTGCAGATATTAAGAGCTGCTGTCAATCTGCAGGAAAGTGAGACACAGATCACTTAACTGCAGCTATTCAAACAAACAAAGACGCTCAATTGTCTCTCTTTTCTTCACTTAGGCATTGTCTCCTCAGTATTGTCAGCGATGCCTCTCAACAGGGCACCAGATATAAGTACTGTAACTACTGGACTTCTACAAACCGGCCCAGAAAGACAATGATGTGCGTTTATTCCCAGCACTATGAACTATATTCTGTTCTATTATCTGGACAGTTTTGGTCAAACATCCACACACAGGCAGCTGAATATTTCTTTAGATGTTTGGGAAACAAAGTGGAAACAACAACTTGTACTAAGCTAAAAGTAAAATGGCATCAAATAATTGCTTCCTTCTACTGACAGATCGTTTTCAGTCGATTGTGCTCCTCATGATTCACCTCGGTTACAGCATCACTTCATGTGTTTAATCCTTAACAGAATGAAAGACG